CGTGGCCTGTTCCAGGAATGAATCGACGTGTGATTGGGAAACGACAAGTGTACCGAATGATCTTATGAGTAATTCTGGAGAACATCATACTCCGTCTTTAAAACCAATATCCTACGATATCTGGCTTGTGAATGGACTCCCTGACTTGAAGACGTATAATAAATTTGAACACCAATTTTCTTTTGAGGATCATGACACACTCGAACTTTTTTTGGTCATTGGCCTATTATATTTGATCCTTGCTTTAATCGTACAAGTTAGTTACAATTTTTTTTGCATATATTTCGCGTTAATGTCTACTTTTATTCTTAATATTTTATGTTTATTTAGAGAATCAATTAACCCTAATTTTTGAAAGCATTTTAGAGTTATTATCTATCTGAATTTGGGCCTCAGCCTTATTGCCTTTAACATTTATTGGTGCTCCTTAACTAATTTCTTGTTGCTGGCCTTCACATTAAAACCATACTATTTAATTTATTTTATTTCATATTTTACAGACTCGCTTTGTTAGGCTGAATACACCACTTTCCGTTATACTGAGTTTTCATCTCTGGCTTTCAACCTTTGGTGCTCTTCTCGTCGCCATTCATTTGGGCATATTTTCTGCAGATGGTCTTGGTGTTGAGTGGCTCAGTTCTTTGGGAACTGTTGTCACCCGTTGGGCTGAAGCCCTGTTTCTTCTACTTCTGGTGGCTACAGCTCGTGTTGGCTTCAGTGCTCCTTCACTTCAAGACCCACCACCACCCTTATTATATTTTCTTGATGAAACTACACGTTTTCGTCGAATCAAGGAGGCACTGTTTTCGGAACTTGAAAATTCACGCTTCCCACTTGAATACCCTAAGCATCATACCGATAATGATACAGAAACGGCGTTAGAGTGCAATTATACAATCAAAAATAATCCTCTTAAGTTGCACAACTTGATTGGTCAAATGGGAGAATCTCCTACTCATGCTGCAAAAGGTGATATGAAAGTGGAATCGCTAAATAGAGCTCTAACTACGACCTCACTTTTGATTACTGATGATCATAAGACCAAAGAGAAAAGAAAGCGGCGATGCTTGACCCCCGGTTAATACTTGAGTTTCTTTAAAAAAATTTCAATTACTTTTTTGACTTTCAATATTAATTTAGGCAACTAAAGATCAGTTTGGT